ATTTCTTCCATTTGCTTTAGCATCTCTATGCTGGAGAGCAAGTTTCAGTGTCTCTTCTGACATCCATTTTGACCTTTTCCTTCTTCTTTCTTGTCTTCTTAATGACTTTTTGCTTTCTTCATGTATGATGTTCTTGATGTCATCCCACAACTCTTCTGGTCTTTGGTTTAGTGTTTAATGTATCAAATCTGCTCTTCAGATGATCTCTAAATTCAGGTGGGATATATTCAAGGTCATTATTTTGGCTTTCATCAACTTGTTTTCATTTTCTTCAGCTTCAGTCTGAATTTGCATATGAATAATTGATGGTCTGTTCCACAGTCTGCTCCTGGCCTTGTTTTGACCGATGATATAGAGCTTTTCGTTCGTTTCTTTCTGCAGATGTAGTCAATTTGATTTCTGTGTATTCCATCTGGTGAGGTCCATGTGTATAATCATCTCTTACGCTGTCTAAAGAAGGTATTTGAAATGAACAAATCATTGATTTTGAAGAATTCTATCATACGATCTCCAGCATAATTTCTATCACCAAGGAAATATTTTCCAACTATCTATTGATCCTTCCTCTTTGCTCCCGGCCTTTGCATTCCAATTACCAGTAATGATCACTACATCTTGATTGCATGCTTGATCAATTTCAGATTGAAGAAATTGGTAGAATTTTTCTATTTCTTTCTCATTGGCTTTAGTGGTTGGTGCATAAATTTGAATAATAGTGGTATTAACTGGTCTTCCCTGTAGGCACATAGATATTATCTTTATTACAGACAGTATTGTACCTCATGACTGATCTGGATTTTGTTTTTATGTTTTATTGTGAATTATGTGATAGTTTACATGGGAGAACATTAGCTTTACATCCATCCTATCGTATATCGTTTCATTGCCATGGTTACAATTCCCTCCATGCATCATCAACCAACCAAATGGTATATACCCTGCAAGCCTGCCTCCCGGTCGTCAGCACACAGCCCCTCTCCCTCTCTGGGTCTTGAGTTCCCAGTCACTCCATCTCTCCACGTCATCATCTCTACCTCCATCTCTAGTTTCACTGCTTCTCTGGGTAGGGTCCCACTCTCCGCTCTTCTCCCTTGAGGGTCCCAGAGCCCTTCGCTCTTGAACTGCAAAGTCAACCACTCCCCTCCTTTTGCTACAAAAAGTCCACCTTTACATTTCCAACCCTCACAGTCAGTCCTGATAGTAATTGTTCACTATTGTACCACATGAGTGCTATCCACATCTCCTTTCATCAGTCCCACCCAGACAGATTGGATACTACTTAGTGGAGAGTCTACCTTCCTCCGCGTGCTCTGAATCTAGGCTCCCTCTTGAAAGCTTGTAAGCCAATCACTTCTTGCTTTTGTAAGCCCCTCTCCCCATTTTGGGTAGCCAGTGTCCAAGTAGCCCATCCCTGTCTACCCTGTGTATTGAGCGGGTGGGAATGATCCTCACTGTAAACATTTCCCCCCTCTTTTGAGCTACTGCATCAATAGGTGTAGGTCAACTTCATCAAATTGTACCAGATTACTCTTTATTTTCCCCTCTTTCTTCTCTTAGTTGAGTTCTGATCATCCAGCCATTGAATCCAGGTCAAGTGTGGGTGTTCTTGTGCATATGCCCTCACTTCTTATCAGCTGGACTCTTCACTCTCCACTCTTGTTCTTTGTGGCTATGTCCCTGACTCTGGGCCCAGGAGTCCCCAGGTCTTGCCATACTGCTGGCCAACCAGGTCTCCACTGGATCACAGGAGTGTATTGAACATGGTTTGACTTTGCTCACAGCTTCATTGCTGATTTTCATTCACTTCACTATATGGGTGAACAGTGTGCTCACCAGTCAAAGCAGGTATCTGCTCATGTATTCCCACTGAGTCTTAGTCTTAGAAGGATGTTTGTCATGAGGGGACCTGACTGCTTGCCTTGGTGTCTCCTGGGTGGGCAATTTGTTTGTTCTTGTAGTAGTCAGTAAGACTGCTGTTATTGTTTTGTTTTTTTCCTGTTGGTCTTTCTTTCAAGAAGTATCTTTTGTTCTTCTAGCCACTCCAAGCTGGTCTGTTTGTCCTTTCCAGTGTAAATTTCCCACCTCAGAAGATTCTGGATGGGGCTCAGGAGTCCACCTATGGTCTTATGCAATACAGAAGCTCCGCAGGAAGCCTCCTCCTTCACTAGCCAAGTTGTAGCCCCATTTTAGGTATTCCAATCAGTTATAGGCAGAAGACGGACTTACAAGCTTTCTATGGTGATACTTCTGGCTATTCCTTTTGCTCCCCCTCAAGTGTCTATTTTATAATGGTATGCCAGGGAAACCAAGGTTCAAAAGACAGCCAAGCATCT